ATTTCACTCTGCTTTTTGGATGTACTCAGACCCAGAACTCAGCAAATGTCCTGTGGAGAAAATGGGGTTGTGTTTTTCAAGCCTCCATGTTCCCATTTTTCATTCTAGTACCATGTAGCCACTCATAGCTTTACTGGTTTCCTTTCCTCTATTAGAGATCTTTCTTTTGGGCAAAGCTTGATTGTTAGGCAATGCCCCAAACTGGCAAATGTCCAGGGAGATGAGTGAGGGGACAGCTGGAGAGACTCATCTCATCTTGTTGTGGTAGGACCATTGGCCTGCCACAACCTACTACATCCTGCCTAGAAGAGGAAATCCAGGCTTTTTTTTTTTTTCTAAAGATTTTATTTATTTATTTGAGAAAGAGAGATAGCGAGAGAGAGCACGAGCAGGGGAGGCCGGGTGGGGAGAGGGAGAAGCAGACTCCTTGCTGAGCGGGGAGCCCGATGCAGGACTTGATCCTAGGACCCCAGGATCATGACCTGAGCTGAAGGCAGACGCTTAACCGACTGAGCCACCCAGGTGCCCCAGAAATCTAGGCTTTTGAGATTCAAAACTCTTTTCTTTTTGAACTTCTGTCTGTAGCATGTATTTCAAAATCTTAGAGTTGACTTTTCTTTCTTGACAAATTTGTGCTGTAATATCCCTAACTGGAGGCTCTGAATGTCAAAATATCTGGGTTCAATGTTCTTCAAACTGTAGGTCACAACCCATTAATGGGGCATAAAATCAATTTAATAGGTCTTGATAGCATTTTTAAATGAAACAGAATAGAATAGAGTATATCACATATAGTAAAGATAAATATTGTTTCATTAAATTTTTGTTTCACTTGTGTGTGTATGTATTTGGTTTTCAGTGTAAAACCTATTCGTTTCTATGGGTTGCAGCCAAAAATGTTTAAAAGCCACTAGACTTTAGTTTAAACAGAGGAAGAGCTAAGGGGGAGAAAAACGAATGATCAGAACAAATGTATTAATTGAGTACGGACACCTTTTTGGAGAAGTGTGGCCATGCCTGGGAAATGGACTGATTCTTTTCTGGCCCCAGCAAGCAAGAGGGAGTCTATGAGAGGGATAAGCCACAAGCATCAGGAACCATAAGCATCAGAGAAGAAAATCCTGTGAGGTCTATCTCCTCATGGGGCTGGGGCAGCTGGGGATGTGCAGAGCGGGTAGCAGGGAGAGTTGAAGATGAGAGATGACTGAATTTGGATCGGTACGAGCCACGAGAACCCTGAGAGAAGACCGTGTCATTCTTGGTGCCATATCATGGGTAGCCCAGTGAACAAAAGCCTGTGCTTGGCCCAGAAGAAAAGCCAGCTGAGGGGATGAACAGGCATGGGGGTGGGGTGAGGCTCTTCTGCTAACCCATGGTTGGTGCTTCGGGGTCAGCAAAAGATCTAAGTCTAGCCACAAGCCTAAGGAGACTAGTATCCACTTCACCTTCTCCCTGCTTTCCTAACACCAAACACAAACACAATTGACCTGCCTGTCGAGGCCACCAGACATAGGCGAAAGAGTATGGGCTCTGTGGTCAGAAGTCCCTGACTTTGAGTCTACTGGCTGGATGGGATTGGGCTTGTGTCTCCTTATTAAGACAGGGTAGGTAAGACCAGCACAGGTCATTGGGAAATGTGCAGACTCATCATTATGCCCATGCCTGGCACACTGTGAGTGCTCAGGAGTTCAGAGCTGCTTTTGCCCCCAGGGACCGCAGTGGGGCAGAGAGTTCTGGAAGAACATTGTGCCACAATGACCAGGCTGGCTCCTGGCCCTTGAAATCCCCAGGCCCTCTAGGCTTGTGCACTGAACCCCCAGGCACCAGTTTGGGTCTGCTCTGAGGCATGGCACTCAGCAAGCCTTGGGGCAGAGAGACCAGCCCAAGACACTGCAGTGGATGTGGTACATTTGCTTGTGTCTCTGAGCCGGAAAGTTCTGCTCTGGGTCAGCCAAGCAACTCCTGTCTTTGCCCTATTGCAAGAGCTGGCTCCTGGCCCTGTGGCTGGCCTTGGACTTCAGGCCCTGAAACTTGGGCCTGAGCCCAGTCTGGGTTTTTGGCCAGGAGTCCTTTGGGCCAGGAGTCTGGCCTTCTACCTTGCTGCAAACACACCTGGTCAGCCACGCGGATCTGCAGGAGTTTTGGAAGACTTCAGCTCAGTCATACCTCAGCATATAAGGGTTTCTCCTTTCTCAGTCTAGCTGAGTGTTATTTGTCCCTTAAGCCCTGGCTCAACCATCACCGCTCACAGAAAGCCTGTGCTGGGCACCCACACCCTCCCCACTCTGGGTTGGGTGCCCTTCCTCTGGGCCCCCACAGGACCTGGGACCTCTCTCTTCCACACCATTTACCCTCGGCTGGCACTCAGTTTGCTTGGAGGCAGGCTTCTGCACAGCCCCCAGCACACAGGAGGTGCTCTGGCAGTGAATGAACTGTCAAACTCAGGCCTCATTTTCCTGCTCAGTGCCCCTGTCTGCCAGGAACTGAGCATACTTTATTTCAGGGTTCAAAGAGCAGAGGAGGCAGCCCAAATGGGACAAGGGCCCTGTTGTAAGCCCTCAGCCACAACCTGCATTAGAGAATCCCAGGTACCTGTGTGTGACTACTAGCTGTTTCAGTTCCATTTCTGAGGAGACGGATTTTTATTTTTTTATTTATTTTTTTAAAAGATTTTATTTATTTATTTGACAGAGAGAGAGACACAGCGAGAGAGGGAACCCAAGCAGGGGGAGTGGGAGAGGGAGTAAGCAGGCTCCCTGCCCAGCAGGGAGTCCGATGCAGGGCTTGATCCCATGACCCTGCAGTCTCAGGCACTGTCTCAGCTCAAGCTGAGGGCAACAGAGCCCTGTGCCAGGCAGGGCCCAGGAGAGGATGTTTCTTGACAGACGGAGCCCAGGAGGGGCTGACAGACAACCAGGACACACAGACCTCTGCCAGTCTCCCCCCAAGGCTTGTGGTAAATGGAAGGAAGAAGAAGAAGCAGGTTCAGAGCAAGACCCAGCCGGTCACAATGAGCACCTCTCCCTCAAGCCCCTTCCTCAGCCAGCTCTTTTACTCCCTGCCAAGGTACGATACTTGATAGCACCTAAAGCATGGGGACTCTTAGGGTCCATGGGGACTTCAGAGCAGCAAGTGGAAGTGGGGGGACACAACGGCTCTCACCAAATGGCTGCATGGGTACCTGGGAGGCCAATCAAAACCTACATCAGATTAGGCTTGGGGTAGAAGGTGAAGCTCTCAAAATGACAAGCGGGTGAGGGGCGCCTGAGTGGTTCAGTCAGTTGAGTGTCTGCCTTCGGCTAGGGTCATGATCTCAGAGTCCTGGGATCGAGTCCCACATGGGGCTCCCTGCTCAGCGGGGTGTCTGCTTCTCTGTCTGCCCTCACCCAGCTTGTGCTCTCTCTCTCTCTAATAAATAAATAAAATCTTTTTAAAAAATGACAAGGGGATGGAGTTCCCTGGATATGTAAAACGGTTCCAAGTCATCAAGGTCCACCTACAAGAAAGTCCTCAAAAATGACACCAGTTATCAAAATTACAATGAGCTATCACTTCACTCCCAGTAGGGTGGCTATAATAAAAAAGACAGCATTGGCAAGGATGCGGAGTCATTGGTCCTCTCGCACATCGTTGGTGGGAATGTGGTGCAGGTGCTTTGGAAAGCAGTTGGGGGTTCCTCAAAATGTTAAACATAGCTAAGCATATGACCCACAATTCTACTTCTACTTCAGTTCTACTCTAGTTCTACTCCTAGGCATACCACCAAGAGAAGTGAAAACACATGTTCCTATAAAGATTGTACTCGAATGGTCATAGGAGCTGTTATTCCTAACAGCCCCAAAATACAAACAACCTAACTGTCCATCACCTGAAATGGAGTAACAAAATGCAGTGTATACATACATTGGAATATTATTTGGTCATAATAAGGAATGAGGTGCTGCTTCATGCTGCAACATGGATGAACGTTGAAAACTTAATGCTAAGTGAAAGAAGCCCGTCACAAAACGTCACATGTGGTAGGATTCCATCTATATGAAATGTCCTGAGTAGGCAAATCCATGGAGACAGAAAGTAGATGAGTGGTTTCCACCGACTGGGGGGATGGGGAATGGGGAGGGACTGCAAATGGGTATTTTGGAGGGGGGCGGCATGAAAATGTTCTGGAATTAAAAATCGTGATGGTCCAGCAACTTTGCTGATATACTAAAACCACGTAATTGTATACTTTTAAAGTCTTGTTTTATGGTATGTGAATTATATTTCCATTTTCTTAAAATAAGGAAAAAAATGTCATCGATGGAGAAGAGTTAGAACTGAAACAATGACATGGAGCATGAGTGTCGCCTGTGCCCGTCGTATCCACCTGAACGAACTTGGGGCCCAGGAATGGTGCACCAAGAAGGCCTTGGGGGAAGACACGCTGGGTCAGGATCTAGGAAGAAACACGTCCCGGGATTCGAAACGAACGCGGCTGAGATGACGGCCGGGGTCGCTAAGGACTGGGGAGGACTGGGGAGGCATCGGTAGGCTCAGAAGTTGGTCGGGCCAGAGCGGAGACTCCAAGGTTGGGGCACAGAGGCTCTTAAAGAGGCCCGAGCGATTTCCCATTCTCCGTCCACTTTAAAGCCAGCGCCGCGGAGCTAGGTTCTGACCGGGTAAGTGCGCGGGGTCGCAGGGGAGGCGGCTGGGGCCCTGCTCGGAGCCGGCGGGGGAGGTGGGGTGGGCTCGGCGGGGGGGAATCGGCGCGGGTGGCCAGGACTGAGCGGCCGAGCCGCGCATCCCGGGGGCCCGGGTGCGCGCGGGGGCGGCGGGGTCGCGGCGCCACCGCCCCCCCCCCCCCGCCGGCGCCCGCCGCGGCGCTCTATTTTTAGCAGGCGCTGTTGCAATATAAGGAATGCGCGGCGCGCGAGGCGCTCGGGGCGCGCGCGGGCTGCGCGGTCGCTTTAAGGAGGCGCCGGGGCGGGGACGGGCGGGAGCGGCCAGAGGGCCGGCGGGCCGGGAGCCGCCAGTCCGGCTGCAGTGGGGCCGGCCGGGCGCGGCGCTGCCTCCTCGGCAGCGCGAGCATGAAGGAGGCGGCCTGAGGGCCGGAGCCGACCCGGGGCTGGAGCGCGGGGTGAGTGGTCGCAGCCGCTGGGGAGGGGAGTAGGGTCCCGCCCGGCGCTTTGTTCCGGGCGGGAGGTGTGGCCGCCCCCGGGCCCTGCCGCGCTCACCGCGCGCGGAGTGCGCCCGGGGACTGGCGGGGAGTGGCCTTTTGCCCCCCACCGCAGGCTCCGGCGTAACGTTGTGCGATCGAGAAACCCGCCACAATAGAGACCCCAGCGGGGAGGGCCTGTCCACCGCCCAAAGAGCCCCTTTCATGGAACCGCCCTTCGGTTTCTTATCTGCCTGGGCGAGGACCAGCGGGGTGGTGGGCGGCATGACTAGAGCGGCAGGGGAGGTGGCGGGCGGGCGAGGGGGGGACTGTTTCTCCCGTTTTAAAATGGCGTTAACGTGGGCAGGGATCCGCCGCGGGTGTTGTCAAATTTATCTCAATAATAAAAAGCAGCCTGCCGCACAAACAACCCTTCACTGCGCCCGGGGCTTGGGGCTCTGCTCACAACTGGGGCCCGGCTCATTCATTGACCGGACCTGGCTGGGGTAACTGAGTGGGGCACGGTGCCCATTACTGCTCTGCGGGGAAGGTAAGGACAAAAAAATGAGCGACAGTGCAGTGTGGTCAACAACGCGATCAGGGAAGAGAAGGGGTTGTAGGACAGACAGCGTGGAAGGTCAGGGAAGGCCTCCTAGAGGAGGTGATACCTGGCAGGAGTGTGGGCGCTGAACACCCAATTACACTCTGTGGCTGGAACTGAGGTCTGTGCTGGCCTTGGAGAAAGCGGAGTCTGGAGAGATGGACAAGGGCCACTTCATCGGGCCCTGATCTCAGAGCTCTGGGATTCCCCTACCACCCCCCCACCCTCCCACCCCCGCCCCACGGGCCCCTGCTGGTACCGAACCTCCTTGAGCTAAATGGTTCTTGCATCTACAAAACACACACTCTATCCTGGACCTGATCAGAGAGAATGACTGACGAGGCTCAGAATTCTAGCCGCAAAAGAGTAATAAGGGAGATCTGACTTAAAAACCCTGAAGCCCGACTATAATAGCGGCACCAGCAGGGCTCACACAGACCAGGCACTTGACCAGAGTGTGCTTGCTCTTGCTGGTCACTTGACAAGACTCCCAGAAGTTTATTGTAATCCCCACATGCAGATGGGAAGCTGTGGCTAGAAAGTATCAGTAACTTGCCCAAGATCCTACCCTGAGACCATGTGGCTGTTCAGGCTCCTCACCTTAGAGTCGGGCTGTTCTGGGCTTGAGGGCTCCAGGCGCAGCCTGTCCTAAGCTTTTGCTCACTTGACAAGCACGGGTTGGTTGAAGTGTGGGGTGGTGACCTTTTGGTATTAATAACTGACATGTGTCAGGGGCTTTGCAGTGAACAAAGCATTTCACGGAGACAGTTCTTAGAGCTTCTTCTGCTTCTCTTCCCAGGGAAGAAACTTGAGCTGCCTAACATTTTATAAATCTCCTAATTTCCTGTAAATTGCAAGTCCCTGCTGACTGGGGCTGAAAAGGTTTCGGGCGGTGGTTTTCAACCTTGGGTCTGTTCTCACTCTCAGCAGCCAGTGAGTTTCTCTGTCTGCGGTTTATGGTGTAGTTTGTACTTTCTCTGCCAGGTCAGGAGGTATTGGGCTTTGATGCTCTGGGGTTTTCAAGGCTGCAGGGTCTGCCAGCCTCTTGCGGAGGCGGTGGTGTTGAGTAAGCCGGGTGCTCTGGTAGAAACTGCCCCCACCCCCGACCCCTGGCCTCAACATTTCTTTATGGAGAAGAGGATCAGAGCCCCCTGCTGAACCCCAGTGAGGCAAGAGACAGTCTTCCAGGGTGTGCCTGCTTTGCTCTCGCAAAAGGCAGTTTGCACTTTCCACTACTCATACTTTCACCTACAGAAGACATTTTTGTGGCGGGTATAACTTTTATTTTATTATTAGCTCTAACCGTAGGTATTTCACACTTTGAGTTGATCTGAGCTGCTTATAAAGTGACAGATCTCTGGGGTTGGTTTCGGAGTTTGAGTGATTACCTGGAACCAGGGAGGACTACCAAACTCGGATGAGCTGAGCTAGCTCCTGGGGTGACTGGTCCTCACATCAAGTCAGATTTGCATGGTGACCAGCCTGTTGGATCAAGTGAGTTCTCAGGGAACATGACCTCCGCTTTATATCTCACACCTGGTGTAATCAGTTCTACCAGTGAAATGCCCCCACACAGAGTGTTCCTCCCTGCAAGTGATTGAAAACATACCTGCTCATGCACTCTGTATAGTTTGTACAAACCACACTTATGTGACCTAAATGTGCAAAGCTGGAATATTCTCAAGCATCAGAAGTGTGCATTGAGTTGCAGAGGTTCTGTACCTGTCAGGCTCAAGGCACATAAGAGGTACAGTTACCTTTGTGTGGCGTTGGGACAAAAGAAGGAGCTGGGAGAGCACCCTGTGCCCTGGGGCATCTGGCAAGTATCCATTGTCTAGGGACTATGCAGAAAATTCAGGGTGCGAGAGGAATTTTGTTGATGGACTCTGAGGCCTTGCCAACCTTCATCGTCTTGGTTGTTACCACTGGGCCTTACGGCACTGGATCAGTGGGGCTGCTTTTGGCTGCAAATAACAAAACCCAAGGAATAGTAGGTTAAGCAGAGTTTAGGTCTTCCAAGGATGCCGAAGCTGTGAGGATGCTCTACACAGACACTGGATATTAGTGCCACTTCCCGCAAGCTCTTGCATGGGAAAGGCAGCCAAGAAGGCTGAGGGTCTGGTGACCAGAGCAATGGTTTTACCTTATTGGGTCACAGCCTCTTCAGTATGCCAGTGAGAAGCCCAGAGAAAAGTTGCCTGGGTGTACAGAGTTGGGCATACAATTCAGGGGATTCACGGATCTCTGAAAACAAGCCCTAGATTCCAGGTTAGATGCCCTGGTCTAAGCCACGTTGTGTCACTAGTGGTTACTGAAGACCCACTCTAGGCTCTGCAGCTCTGCCCTCGCAGCTAGGCTATCGGCCTGGGATCGTAGAGTCAGGTATTAAGAGTGAAAATGAGCGGGCCAGTTGTTGGTGCCTGCTTCAGACAACAGAGCTGAGGTGAGGTGAGGTGACAGCTGTGTTGCACCCCTCGGCGCCTGCCGTGCATACTTTGGTGCTCATCTGCAGTCTTCTGGGTGGTGTTTCTATTGCACGAGATGAGATTGGCCTCGCCTGCTCCCAGAGACTCCACCCCCGGGCCCCCACCACTGAGCGCCGGGTTGGCACCATCCAAGGCAGCTTTCTGCACCCAACCCACTTAGAGGGTTCATGAAGTAGCAGTGTGTATTTAACTTCTTAATGTCCCTCTCATTGACCTTTGGTATTTTTGGTAGCTTTTCTAGGTGGGGCCTGCTGATGGCCAGAAGACCAAATGACAATGTAGGTCGTTGCTGGTTGCTGAAGTGTTATTGTGGGTCTCAGAGGGGCATATTTTCATCTCCAGAGCTTGGCATCTGGCTACCTAGATGGGTAAAACACCATGATTTACATCTGTGTTGTGGTGCTAATGAGATTTGGGAGAGCACCAAGGATGGATTTGGATTTGGCTGTGCAGCCGTGTGGTGGTAGCATGAGGAGAGGATGGAGAGGTGGGGACTCTGCACCCTGGTTCTGGTCTTCTGTGACTATCTAGAGGGCCTTGGGTACATCGCATGCTGCAGAGACCCAGGCGCCATCTGTGACTTATCTGCCTGCCCTCAGGGTTGTCATGGGATTAGATGAAAGACACAGATGAGAACATGCTTGGGAGACCAGAAAGGGCCATAAGGATTAAGAGCATCATCAATATTCAAGCAACCTCAGATAACAGAATCATAGATCCAGAAGGGGCCCCTGGAGCGTAGTTAGTCTAGATTCAGATCCTGTGGAGCACATTTCTCAGAGCGGTCAGGGAGATAATTTTAGGTGGGGCACATACAACATCATTTCATTTTAATACACTTATTTATATATATTATAAAAATACAGGCATCACATCAAACCTATTTTTAAAAAATGGATATTTTGTTCAAATTAAGGCTGGAGAAAGGTTTTAAGTTAAAAAATATGGTGGGGGCACCTGGCTGGCTCAGTCGGAAGAGCATGTGACTCTTGATCTTAGGGTTGTGAGTTCAAGCCCCATGTTGCATATAGAGATTACTAAAAAAATAAACTTAAAAAAAATAAAAGTAAATGAAAAGTATGGTGATTCTTTTTTTAAGGTTTTACTTATTTATTTGACACAGAGAGAGAGAGAGCAAGAGAGAGCGCACAAGCAGGGGGAGTGGCAGGCGGAGAGAGAAGCAGGCTCCTTGCTGAGTAAGAAGCCTGATGCGGGGCTCGATCCCAGGACACTGGGATCATGACCGGAGCCAAAGGCAGACGCTTAACTGACTGAGCCACCAAGGCACCCCAAAGTATAATGATTTTAAGGTAAAGATTAAGCCAGTAATAGTTCAGTAGTAAACAAATATGGCCCAAACAGGAAAGTGACCCCTTGAATAAAGGCTGGGAAACTTTCAAGGGAGTCTCTCCCTTACAGTCCCTCCCTTACTCCCTTGGCTTCAGCTGGACCCTTCTAGAGGTAGGAAGCTTACTGCCCCCAAATCCATCCACTTTTCCATTTGGGGATTCTCTCGTCCTTACAAAGTTCTTTCCTTTCTCCCCTTAAGCTGCCCCCACTGGATCTGTCCCGCATGAATCTCTGACAGCCATGCTTTTCTCCAGCACCAGCTCCTCTTTTTTCAGCGGCTCCTCAAATGGCATGGTTTAAAGACAGTCAGTCTCTGTCTGTCCTCCCTTCCTCCTTCCCTCCCTTACTTCTCACTCCCTCCCCTCCCCCCTCCTTTCCCCCCTCCTCCTTCCCTCCCTCCTTTCAACAAAGACTTGTGGGCTGGCCCTAGGTTAGACACTATGTTAGCTACATCTAGGCCTCACAGCAATTGCCATTAGCCTTTTATGTATGTGGAAACTAAGGCTCAGGGAGGTTGAACAGGCCACGTCCAGTCAAAGCCTGAG